TAGCACACGTTTTTAGTGCATTATCAATCGAACATACGGAAATTCTAAACCAGTAAAGTGGAAGCCAACCGAATACTACATAATGAAAGAGGGCGCACTCAGTGCGCACTGGTGCGCACTAGTGTATCCAATCGAATTCGCCAATAGTTTACTCTCTACTCCTACAGCCTTACAACCTTTATTGTAGACTAGCCATAAGAGAAACTAAAGAAAAACATACAGAAATTGCATCATGTGTTGAATACATGTGCTTCTCTTTATATTATACCTAGCACATAAAAAAGTAATCAAAAGTGATGTATTTTACATAATTAATGAGAGATTTATTTGTTATTGTATAGAAAAATAACATGCATTATATTTGCCTGTGATAGAATTTGTGTGTGAGAGAAGTGATGAAGGTAAGTGTTTTTTACAAAACTGCACAAAATTTCACACATCTTTTTTTGTTAAAGAAATTCTGTTATCATATATTCAAACTTTCAAATACTTTTTGGTCACACTATGTACATAAGTGATTCATATCGTAAAAACAGCTAGGCTAGGTGAGGTTAGATTCATTGCAGAGCGGCTTGAGCCGCTATATAAAAAGCAGATATTTAACTAAAGATAATGAAATTTTTTCTAGTATTATAAAAGACATGACTTTTAATTATAAATCCGTTGTATTTTGATTATATTATGCATAACGTTATCGTAAATATGTTGACATACAGTTAAAACTTGTTTAACCTATTGATTGTCAGAGAAAAGAGGTTACAGTTATGTTGCACGTGAGAGTTACATTTTGCTTCAGGTGAATATCGGACAATCTTTCTGAAAACATAAAACATTAGAAAATGTCACATGAAAAACCGTGTCGTGCTTGTACAGACTTTCAAACATTTGCGAAGCTCCAGAAAGAAGCTTATAATTCCAAAAAGGTATTATTAAATACATACTTTTTATAAAATTTATTATTTACCTACCTACTTTTAAATACACCCCAATAGGCAAATTTTGAAAATATTGCACAAAAATGACATCATGAATGATGACGATTTTGCAATGATTGCACTAAGATGATTTGCCATAAGGCAACAGTTTTGTCAAAATAAAACTTTGTAAATAATATTTGTCAAAATATTTGGAAATAATTGGAAAAGAGTCGTTATGCATTTCCATAAGTATATACATGATTTAAGTTGATTTCTTCATATGTAATTATATTTCTACATATTTTAAATATCACATAATTGAAATATTTTTCTCAAGTATTGAACAATTTCTTTTTAAATTTAATTTTGCAAACATACTGCTAAGATGATTCGTCATATCATTATTGTTTCACTGAAATAGTATTTGGAAAGTAATTTTGCAAAACAGTTACAAATATTTTATAAAAGATCAATATTTTTACATCTATTTCTCAAAATATATCTACATATTTGTAAATTACAATTTTCATGCAAGATTTTGTCATAATTTCATAAATGTTTTCCTATTGGGGCACTTATAACCAAGCGTCTTGTACTGTCAGATTTCTAAGAATAAGTATTAATTTTTGAGTTGTATAGTTTGGCCAGTTTTTATTAACTTGATCAAGTGATTACTGCATCAAATTTACAAATAACATTTATCAGTTTACCCAATGGATAAATTGGTCAAACTAGCTTTAAGTAACAAGACTTATTCTTTTACATATTAATTCTTCTAAATATAATCTCAAAGAATTATATATATCAGTTTTATAAATCTGTTTCATACAGGAATTACAGAAAAAACAGAATAAAAAGCCAAGCAATAGCAATAATGATAAGCGAGAAGATTGTCCATTAGACAAAAATGAATTAGGATCAAAGACTTGGGCCTTCTTACATACCATGGCAGCATATTATCCTGACAAACCAAATGAAAAACAGAAGCATGACATGAAAAACTTTTTTCAGATATTTTCAAAATTCTATCCTTGCAACATATGTGCGGAAGATTTGCAAGAACAATTGAAACATTCACCGCCTGAAACTGATTCACAAGAAAAATTAAGCCAATGGCTATGCAAAATTCACAATGATGTAAATAGAAAGCTTGGAAAACCAGAATTTGATTGTAAGTTAGTGAATCAAAGGTGGAGAGATGGTTGGCTTGATGGCTCTTGTGATTGATCATTGATAGCAATAATAGTTCAAAAATATAAAATGGGACCTGAATACAATTTTATGTACATTATATATATATATATTTATGTATATACATTATATATATATATGTATATATAATGTGTGTGTGTGTGTGTAAATTAATAAAGATAAAACAAACAATTATAATATATTCTACAAAAAATTTATCTATTTTTGTATCCTGGGAACAACAATGTAAAAATAGGAAATAAAGTCTTGCATTATGCACTTTATTATAAGTTTTTTGTGATAAAAAATAAGAGAAAATTTATATTTAGATTATATATAAATTCTGAACGAATTTAATTACATATAAATATTTGCTTATGTATTCAGCAATTGATTATCATTATCAATAATATAGTCAGATGTTCAATCCTTTCTCTATTTTACTAGAGAACCAATACAGAATTACAATATATCGCATTTTTTTATAGTAAAAAAATATATAAAAGTTTATTAAGTTAGTTTTTTTTTAAGCTGCTAATAGCAACTTGGGTGCATTCCACCAACAGTTATACTCTTCTATCTATTTTATTTATATTTTATCTATGTGGACTAAAATAAGTTGGTGTTCGTGTAATAGTAAATGCCGTAACTGCAGTTCGACGATCAGGCTCGTAGCTGTGATCCTGTCCGTGGCCACCTATAGGCACAACTTGACATGTCCTGATGTGAAATGGAAAACGTTTGTTGTTCACGGATGGTCGGGTTACATACAAAAACGTTATGTGACCCAAGAAGACAATCCAAAGAGAACTTCCTTTAGCGACGCTCTCTCTTACCCATTGTTCCACGAATATAGTGATAGTCAACACCTATATAAATCACAAAAATAAATTGCGTATGCTGTTTTTTTTTTTTTTTGATAAAATGATTTACATTAAAATGCAAGTAATTAAAAAAATAAATTAATGCTTAATACATTGATGAATACCGTTAACGGGTGACAGAGGAACCATGCTGATCCTAAGGAGAGTAACGAAGCGTAAAAATGGAGCTTCATATTCATCTTCCTGATAGTTTTGCAGCAACGAGTGATGAACACGAACCAGGCGATCAACTTGAGCGCTATCAATCCGTAGCCTGGTGGCGACTCGTATATGTATAGCACGAGTCCGGGATCAAATTTCTCAGATTGATAAATGTACAGGGCCATTTGACAAATGGCAGTAATGCTGATAAATATTACGAGCCATCGGACCTGCGACGATGTAAGGACACTTTTGGTGACCGTGTAGCCGAGCGCGAGCAACAACATGAGCATAGTATACAGAGTCTCCGAGCACGCCTCGAAAAGCTGGCCTAACAGATAAGCGTTCGATACCGGTGCTCCTCTTAAACCGACATTGACGTAGCTGTAAATCTCACATAGCACTCCTAACAATTGACATAAAAGGGAGGCGACGAACATTTTATAAGATATGTGCAGCAATCTTCTGGCGCGCAATTGCAACGCTATATAGAAGCTCAGCGTGACGAGGATCACATAAATACAGGCGGTCGCAATCAGTAGCGGCAATATATCTGCAATCAGAAAAAAATCGGTGCGATTAAAGAACGCTGTTCCGCGTTTCGCTAACCGTCGTGAAGGTCAAATTACTTGCAGAATTCGTCCGCGGAGAAGTGTTCCTTCCAGAACGTGCCGGATGGCGCGTTTGTCAACGATATCCAGTATGTGACGTTTAGGCCTCTCGTGGAAGAGCAATCAGCTAAAGCTATGAACCACCATCGCGGTCGCACCGAGATGAATCTCCTCTGGCTGTCGCATCGCACTGTACCGTCATCACCTGCTACGCATCCCGAAGATAGATACGACGTGTTCAACGGCACTATTTGACCGTGATCGATATCGAGAATACTTTCTTTCTCCTTGCACGTCTTGTTAGAAGGATAAACGCTGGGCCATTGATGCGGTCCATCGTAATACAGCAGAAGATTCAACTCGCGTTCTTCGCCGCTTAATTGAAAGTGGTACCGGAAAGTACCGCGCTCCGTTAAAAAACAAAATCTCGCAACAAATGCCCAGTTCTGAAAAATCACGATTTTTACTAGAGAAATTTATATACATCAATCGATAATGTTATATCGTTATTTACTTAAGATAATATTTTTAAAAAAAGTTTGTGACACGCTGTATCTCGCTTTTTAATGAAAAATATAAAAAGAATTTGTTGGTCAAATTTAATGTAGTTATCGCGTAGAATCGATGTCTTGCCAACTTTCCCAAACTTGAACCACATATTAAGCAAAAGGCTTTTCAAGCGCTCGTGAAATTTCTAACAACCAATTTTTTCACTTCTAGATAAGTTTTCGATAACTTTATCTAGAAGATATCTCCCAAAATTAATTCTCCTTACAGCCAATTTTTTCACTTCTAAATAAGTTTTCGATAACTTTATCTAGAAGATATCTTCCAAAATTGGTTCTCAGAAAAATTTATCCAGAGGATAGCTATCGAAAGGTATGAAGAAATCGGCCGTAAATGTTTGACCGTTCTCTAAAGCTGAGATCATTGCAATTATAAATGACATTTTTTGCATGTATATATTCCCAGCAAACATTTCGGTCACAGAACCATATCCATCTGTGTCCTCAGTAGGATATGGTTTGTTAATCATGTCTGTCAACATGTGAAATGTCAAAATGCGACCAAAAT